TGCTTTGGACATCTAGTTTGTAAACAAAGCTCTGAATCACCTTCCTTGAGAAGATGACCTGAATGAGATCTTTTGATCTTACTCGGCTAAAAACAACAAAACAAATTGCGTTGTTTCCGAGGAAGGAAAGTAAGATACCAAGTTTACTTTCTAGTTTTCTTTTGTTTCCGTGTTTCTTTTGATTCTTGTGATTTTTGCTTAATATTCGTGTTTCTTTTTCTTTCTTTTGTTTTTTGTAATTTAGTAATTAGTCTGTGTTTGTTCCTTGCGTTAGTATCTTGTTTTCCATTGGTTCCTTCATGGGTAATCCAATAAGATCGATCTAATTTTTACATCGACTAACATTATAATCCAACAAGATCGATCTAATTTTTACATCCACTAAACTACATTATGATCCAATAAGATCGATTTAATTTTTACATCGACTCAACTACTTTACAATCTAATAAGATCGTTACAAATTTTACATCGGCTCGACTACTTTACAAGTAAAGCCTTACATAAAATGAACCACAATCTTCAACGCACATGATTTCTCTTTTCTCAACTCATAGATTTCTTGGCACAGAGCGGGAAAACGGTCTCCTGGTGGCGCACATTCAGAACTCCTTGTTAATATAAGACATTTGAAGAGCCTTCAGATTGGCCGACTTCGACTCCAAGGATGCCCCCTCACATAGCTCCAGTTTGTCATTTTCCTCACTGAGCTCGGAGGCGTTCAACTGAAATTCAACCTCAGCGGCAGCAATACTTACCAAGGCCATGGCAAGCCTTGGCACAACAAAGCTTGTGGACACCTCAGTAATTGGGTCCCAAACCATCAAAAGGACCCGAGCAGCGTCGATGACATGATCAAGTTGGTGATACTTATTCGGAAGATTGGGCTCCTCCACCGACTGAAACAAGGTATACCAGTCCTCCACGGTACCCTTCGGAAGGTTGAAATGGGCATCCTTCTCTTCATCAATACGGAGGTACGCCTTACCTCCGGTCTAGTGGATAGGGGCGTTCTTTTCCTTGTCGAGCTGGCCAGCATCATGCCTTTCCTTCGTCCGCCCCTCCTCCGTGAAGTCAGGTTCGTCCGCAAACCCGTTTCTTAGCCTCCTCTTCTTATGAGGCTCGGGCTCTCCGGTAGCCCCCTTCTCGACTGCGACTCCCTCCGAGCCCAATAAGATAGCTTGCAAATCGGAGCCCGCAGTCTCCGAAACCTCCACAATCTCGGTCTGGGGGACGGGCTCTGACACCTCCATCTCAGAATGGGGGTTATCTTCGGTCCCAACGACTGGAGCGAGCTAGGCGCGAGCCCAATGGTTTGACTCGCCACCGCACCACGACTGACTGAGCCCGAGCACGCGCTGGAGCCGCCACTAGCGGAGCCTATCATCATGTGGATCAACTGCATACGTCTCATTTCAGATGTTTTATTGTTTTTGTTTTTGCCTTTCTTGGCCTGAAGGTCAGAGTTGGGAAACCGATGTCGGAAGTCTTTGGCGTCTTGGACCGATTTCAGCCCGTAAAACCCGAGTATTGGGTAATAAACTGCGAAGAAAAAATAAGAAGATTAGCCAAATCAGTGACAAGAGAGATGAGAAAAGGAGTCGGCATTAACAACAAGGAGTTAACCTACCAAGTTCAAAGTTACAGTCGATGAGGCCCAAAGTTAAGACTGCTGGTTCAAGTTGAGAATCTTTTGACAGGCGACGATACCTACGTTCTGAGTGGCTCTGTTCGAAAAGCTAGACCAAACGACTTCTGAACTCATGATCAAGCTTGGGTTCTCTTTTCCTACGAGCTGCAAATACAAAACGTTCCGACCTTTTAGTACATAAAAACAACAAATCATTAGAATAACACAACGAAGTAATAGACTTATGATATACAGTAAGGACTTGAGTAGGGATAGTCATCCCATATATCGGTGTTTCACGGAAGAAGTCGGCCGGCTGCCAATCCCATCTTATATTTTCTGAGGCAACCACATCTTCGAACAATCATTTCTACAATTCAAAATAGTCGTATCTCTTTGACAGTCTGTCGTAGCGTATCTGAAATGCTTTATTTTTTTATTTAATAATAACTATGTAACAAATATGCGTCAGAACAACTTTCGTGTAATAATCGCAGATTTCTTACGAATTTACCGAAGAGATTTTCTTAAATAAATTAATGTACGATTAATTATGCGTTTAGAGTTTCGCTTGATAATCGCATATTTGAGTAAAAAAAACAAAAATAGTGGGTTTCTGGATCACAGTTCCGACTTATTACTAATAAAATAAATAAATATAATAATTCTGCGATTGAAAACACTCGCACAATGACTCAAATTTTTCGAAGCAAACCCGTCATTCGAACAGTCCTTTTGAACCGTCTAGATCATTCGCACAATTTCTACATCTTTATGCACTTATTCAATTTTACTTCACCTATTTGTCGCATATTTAATCGTATAACTAAATTGGACTTGCTGAATTGTCTTCACCTGACTGTCGCCTTGTTTATCGCATAATCTGTTTCATACTTTATCGATTATCTTGATATGTTCGCGTAATTTATTGCATAAATATTTCACAATTTTTTAAATTTTTTCACCTCTCTTTCGCATTGTTTATCTCACAATTTATCTTGATATTTCACAATATCTCACTTGCTCGATTATCGTTGTCTGTCTATCGCATAGTTTATCTTATAAGTAATTTGCACTTGCTTAATTAACTCCGATTGTCTGTTGCATGTTTTATCGCATAATTTGTTTCATACTTGCTCAATGAACTTCACTTGTTTGTTGCATAATATTATCGAATTTATCAATTATTCATCGCCTTCTTATCGCATAAGTATGCCGCACTTTATCCATTATATTCGTCAGTCTATTGCATATTCTTCGCTTAATTATTTCGCACTTTATCAATTATTGCATATATTTTCGGAAAATATTTTCGCACTTTATCAATTATCTTCGTCTATCTGTCGTATCATAGCTTTTTGCATCAATTATCTTCGTCTGTCTTTCGTATAATTGTTTCGCATTTTATCAATTATGTTTGCTTGTTCAATTATCTTTGCTTGTTTGTCACACAGTATATTGCATAATTATTTCGCACTTTATTAATTATCTTCGCATGTTTGTCGTAAGCTTTTCGCATCAATTATCTCCGTCTGTCATTCGCATATTATATTGCATAATTGTTTCATACTTATCAATTATGTTCGCCTGTTTTGTCACATAGTTAAATCGCATAACTATTTCGCACTTTACCAATTACCTTCGCCTATTTTTGCATAGTATATTGTCTAATTGTTCCGCATTTTTCTCATTTATCTTCGTCTGTCTTTCGCATAGCTTTTCGCATCAAGTATCTTCGTCTGTCTTTTGTATATTATATCGCATAATTGGTTCGTACTGTGTCAATTATATTCGCTTATTTTTCGCATAACTTATTACATAATTATTTCGCACTTTATCAATTATTTTCACATGTTTTTCGCATAGTATACGTTTAATTATTTCACATGTTATCAATTATCTTCGCCTGTTGTCGATACTTCATTACATAACTGTTTCGCACTTTATCAATTACCTTCGGTGTGTCGCATAATGTCTCGCATAATTATTTCGCATTTTAACAATTATGTTCGCCTGTTTGTCGTTTAGTGGACGCATAACTCTTGTGTACTTTATCAATTATCTTCGTCTTTAATTCACAACCTATTGCATAATTATTTCGCACTTTAGAAATTATCTTGGTCTGTCTATTGCATAGCTTATCGTATAACTTATTTCATACTTTATGGGTTGAAAAAGTTAACCTATTATTTGGCGGTGTGTAAAACTTATTTCTGTCTTCAGAGCGAGGTGAAAATAGTTATTTCCATTGTTCTGAAAACCGGACCGGACCGGCCGGTTCAACCGGTTGGACCGGGAACCGGCCTTCATTCCGGTCCGGTTTGGACCATCAAACCGCCCAGCTTTTGAACCGGTCGAAACCCGTTCGAACCGGTCCAAAACCGGTTGAACCGGTGAACCGGGACCGGTTCGAATGGTTCAACGGTTTAAGATTTTGAATTTTGAATTGGTTGATTGTGAAGTGATTTAAATAGCACATCTTTTTTACTTGTGTTTCCAATGTGGGATATGTTCCTTTGATAAAATTATTAGGCCAATATTGGACCTTACAAACAATATTGTACTCATTAAAAAAAATGAACTATTTTTTAAATTGAACTATCAATTAGGCTATATCTATTCCCAAATTATAAAAAAAGAAATAAACAAATTATAGTTGTTTGTTATGTACATTATTTTTTTTAAGCAATAATAAAAAAATTGAAATGTGATTTAAAATGAAAATAGGATTGTTTCTATTCTTTCTATTTTGTAAGTTAAATATAGATAAAAAAATTAAATATAAAAAAAAAAATAAAATAAAAAATATAAACATTAATCAACATTGTCGATTGTATCTATTATTGAGTTATTATTTAGAGAAATGTCATACACAATAAAATTAATAGAATTAACAATAAAAAAAATATATAATTATATATTATACATATAAAATAAATACAAAATTATATATTAATAAACCGGTTCAACCGGTTCGACCAGTGAACCATTGAACCAGTAGCTTCACCGGTTCGATGACCGGTCCGGTTTTCAGAACAATGGTTATTTCCTCATGAAGAAAGTTAATCTCATTTAAGAGCCCAATGTGGGAAGGACTCTTTACCCTTCGAATTTCACAACTGTCGTTTTACGTGCCTATTTATGACTAACTTTAATCATATATTTCTCACTCACCGAAAATTAAAATTTAAAAAATAAATATAACACAAGTATTTACTCATAACGTAATATTTTTACACAATTTAATTCTACCCAAATCCTATATTTAACTATCAAACCAAGTCAAATCCAAATTTTTATAAATGATTTTTCGTAAGTTCTAACATAACCTAGTCAAATTATAACCCCTCTCAAATCTCACACATTACATATATTTCCCTCTTGATACTTTTTCTCCACTCTTAGGTCAAATTTCCGCGTTATCTTTTGATTTCATTCTATACTATTGAATTTCTTTTACTCCACAGCAAAATAATACTTTCACTTTCATTTGTTCAAGGTAAGTGCATATTTTCTATTTTACTTGTGCCATCCCCTGGAAAATATTTTCAGATTTAAACCGTGTCCTCTTTCTTTGTTTTTATTTTATTTAATTATATATATTTTTTTTTTCGCAGCAGACTGAGATGAACAACGTGAAATACGAAGCGGTAAGAGCCTCATTTCTATTTTAGGAAATTAAATTAAATAAACAAAATTCGGAAGCTATAAATTTTTTTATTTTATTTTTCCAGGAACACATTGTGAACTCACGTGGGGTGAAGCTTTTCACGTGCCGATGGGCACCTGCAAATGTTGATCCAAAAGCTTTGATTTTCTTGTGCCATGGATATGGCATGGAGTGCAGCATCTCAATGAGAGGTTCCACCATTTTTTTCCCACTTGAAGAAAAAATATTAATTAGAGTGATAAATCACATAAGCCAGTTAATTATTTTTCTCTTTATAGGATAATTGAAATTCATTAATTGATTGATATTGATTTTGATATTGATTTCGATTTCGATTTCAAGCAGGTTGTGCTACTAGGCTTGTTGAGGCCGGGTACGAAGTCCATGGCATCGACTGTGAAGGCCACGGAAAGTCGTCTGGGCTGCAGGGATTGGTTACCAATTTCGATGATCTTGTTGATGATTTATCCGAATATTTCACTAATATTTCTGGTAATAATATTTTGATTCTATTTCTTATCTTTCTGGAAATAATTTTTTTTTTCATTAATTTTGAACGATATATGATTAGAGAAAATTAGATTCAGGATTATGAAACATAAATTGAGTTGCACACAATTTTCTGGATTACGAGATGCTATTTTAGTCCATCGGCTATTGTGGTGGATTAGTTCTGATTAGTCCTAATACGAAACATGTCGTTTTGAAGAGGAAAAATGCTAACAGTGGACGGTGATTAAGTGTTACTATTTTAGTCTATTGGCTATTAGTGATTGGATTAGTTCTGATTAGTCCAAATGCCAAGCATGCCATTTTGAAGAGATAAATTTATGACAATGGCCCGTGATGATGACTTTTATCCAACTTGCTTCATACATTGAAAAAAAAAATTACTGAAATAATGTGCAATTATGAAGCTAGATCATTAGCGAGTTTAATATTAACAAAATAATTAAAGTCATTAATTATCGTGTGTCTTTGTCATTGAGTGCGTATACGATATTTGAGAGTTCTCAGGTTCATAGAGATCTAAGGCTTTAGCTTATTCCTTAAATAGTGGGTCACATGTAACAAATATATATATTTATGGATGAAATAATAGGAACCCGTCCTTAGTGAAACTGTTGTAAGACTACTATTTGTAATTGTGTGTTTTTCACTTTTCTAATTGCGTTTGTTGTTATTTTTTAATTAAATTTATTTTTTTATAAAATGCAATACTATAAAGTTTATATAGTATATATCTGTATATCTGTTTATATAGTAGTATTATATTTCTACCCTATATATTTTCATCATAAACTTGTGTTTTAATTATTTATTCAGAAAGGAAAGAAAATAGGGGGAAAATGAGGATTCTATTGGGCGAGTCCATGGGTGGGGCAATGGTTTTAAGACTTCACTTAAAGAAGCCCGATTACTGGGACGGCGGGATACTCGTTGCACCTATGTGTAAGGTATATTTTTTCTGTAATTTTGTGCACCTTTTAGTAATTTTGTATCTTTCCAATGTCAATGTGTTTGTATTTTTTTTGAATTATTGAAAAAATAAACTTTTTGATTTTTTAAAACTAATCCATAACTATGAGGTGTATAATAATTAGGGTTGCTTAAATTCATCTATAATTTCGAAATTTTATCAATTTCAGATTAATTTAATTAAAAAACCAAAATTTTGGCAAGAAAGTTGATGTCATGCGCATATATTCTACTAATATTGTTTTAATAAAACTCAATTCTTTTAGTTCAAATTATCGTCAAATTGGTTAGTGGAGAAATTATAAAATTATTACTAATTAATTAAAATTTAAATGGAGCTACTAATAGAATACTTAAGTTACATGGTCGCTTTTGAAATTTCTCATAAAAAGGCAACACTTTATGTAATCAAGCTCAAGCATGTAGATGGAGAAAAACGTATTTCAAGACCAACATTATGGTACTTCCAAATCCCTAGTATAAGTACTAAATTATTCATTTTACTGTATTTCATATATGTAAATTGACTTCATTTCCGAAAAGGAAAAGAGCTAAGTTTTCTTGTTAGGTATACTTTTTTTTTTAAACCACACGCACACGTTTTATTATAAACGAACCGAGGTTTGGGGGACTTATTCCCTTACAGAGCCGGAGAAAATAAATGGAAAGGGTCAAATCCCCTACAAGTTCATGGTACTATAAGTACTACAAGTCCATAGTGTACGGTTTTTTCATATTCCTCGTACTGCGCCTGAATCGCTGTTTTTTTCCGGAAGAGTTGGTGTAAGTCCGGAGGCAAAGAGGTGGGACAAAGGGAGAGGGGAAAGCGATGATTGGTTTTGTACAGTAGTTTGGGCGGCAATGAAGTCATCTTCAAATTCAGAAAAGGGAAAATAGTGGTTTGGAGAGTTCGGTTCAGAATCAAGACTCAACGATCACTGAGTTGAGCTTAGGTGAACCTGACTCTAGAGAATCAGACACATTGCCTGGTCCCGCCTCAGGGAAAGTAGAGGGGGTAAGAATTTGGACCAATGAAGGAACCGAGCCTAGTAAGGAGGGTTTGGGTGGAGCCTGGCCAAGCGAGGGTGTCGATTCCATGGGAGTTGGGTACGACGCAAGGGAAGAGGGGTTGGATGGGCTAGCGGGAGGTGGGGACGGAAAAGAAGAAGAAGGTGTAGAAATAGGTGGAGAGGGATCAATGTGGGGTGTTTTTTCTCTTGTTAATTTTGAGGGGACGGATGGTTGGATTTTTTATATAACATGTTGATTCATCATGTTACGGATGGTTGGATTTTTTATATAACATGTTGATTCATCATGTCCCACATGAGAGCAATATGAACAGTATTTTGGTAAGCATTTGAACTCGATGGTGAGTTCGACGTGTTTGTTTTTGCAAGAAATGGCAATGCTGCGGGATGGGGGATTCAAGATCGAGGGCAACGCAAAAGCGTGCATAGTGGAGACGGGTTTTTTTCAGTGTGGCATCATCAACTTTTAATAAGGTACCAAAAATGTTGGCGATTGTTCGAAGGGCCTTTAAATCAAAGCAATGAAAGGAGAGAGCTGGGATTTTGATCCAAACGGAGACAATGGGTGGTTCTTTTTGAAATCGAAATCGGCGGACCATTTAAAAATCCGCATTGAAAAATTTAGAATTGAAATTTCACGTTTCAACCAAAGTTTGGTGGGCGTATTTGGGTCGTCGATTTTGATTAAGACGTGATTGGCATGGAAAAAGAAAATTTTGCATCCGATAAAACCCAAAAGAGCAAGGTTCGACATGATAGGCTTGTTAGAGGGCTTGCCGAAGGAGAATTTGCCTATGAGGGTGTATTTTAGGTCCTTCAACATTTTTGAGACTTCGGGGCGGAGAATAGAACCTCCGGAATGCTAACGGAAAGAGAAAGAGAGCCATAAGAGAAGGGCTCGGGTGGGTCGGTGTTTTGGGCAGTCGAGAGGAAGGATTTTGTCGGTCCGAGGCCGACAGATTATGTTGAAGAGGAGGCATGGCCAGATTGAAAGGGTCGGGCTAGGTTCAGGCCGGTATGGGGGGGACCGGACTGAGATTGAACGAGGCAGGGTTGGGTTTGGGCCGGACTGGGGGATTTGGGTTTCGTTCGGGCTGGGCAGAGTGGGGTGGGCATTAGATGAATTGGAGAGGGTTGAAGTGTGGACGGGCTTGGTTTTGATTTGGGAGAGCTGGGAAGGGCCAGATGAGAAAGAGGGTCCAATTGAATTGGACCCAAAAAATAGGGGACAAATGGGCTTGAATTTAGAAGGCCCAATAAGATGAGAAAGAGAAGAACAAACCGATCTAAGAAGAAGAGTCCAGGATTAGGCACGCACGGGATTAGGGCTAGTTGAGGATGTCGCGCCGCCACTTCTGACCGGAGGTAGAGAAACCGACGACGGTGACTAAAGAAAATCCGGCGACTTTCGGCGGGGTTGGTTCAACATACGGGATGAACAGGTGGGAATCGCTTTTGTCGATTTGGTGAGTCTGGGGACGACGTTAGGTGTGGAACCACTTGGACAATCGAAAGTTTTGGTCGCTGGTAGGTAGAGAGGCTGTTGTCTGGTGGAAATTTGTGCCGCCGGCTGGTTGAGGAGGTACTCCAGGTCGCCCGGAGGCTATTCATGAATCATGGCTTGGGTTTGGGGGACCGCCGGTAACCGGCGGCGGCCGACTGGCTGTACAGGGTGCTCCTAAAAGTGCTTGGAGAGGGTCAATCACTTGTTAGCTCTTTTCGGCATTTTATGGAACTGTTTCTGTGCATGATCTCATATGAAGGGGCTTTGAGTTTTGGAGGTGACTGAGTTGGCAACCTCGCTCCACCCAATCCCCAACGTATCGCTTGAATCTGCTCCAATTGACAACTCGTCCTGCAATAAGTGGAAGAAGTAGCAGTTCGAATTCTCGCACTAACTGAACAAGAGGAATCGCAGTTCGATTAGCTCGCTCTTAGCATGCTCTGCCGCTTGCGCAAAAGAATGCTTTTTCTATCAGGCATACTTGATAATGAAGCAATACAACCGCATTTTTTTTAAAAATCTGCACATTTAAATTAGAATGTTATACTATAAATAACAACATCAAAAGTATGTCACTATACATAATAAGTATTCTCTCCTATTCATAATAACTGTCGTTTTGAGAAGTTGCACACTAATTAAGAATAATTTTTTTGCCAATAATAACCCTCATTAATGAAGATAGAGATGGATGTTTTAAAAAAAAAAAAAGATGAAGAGAATATGAAAAAGACGTAGTGTATTTATTAACTAAATGACGGTAATAATGGAAAAATATGTACAAAAGATCTAAAACAACATTTATTTTGTTTAATAGTTGATAAAGCCAAAATGACATTTAAAAAGAATAGGAGGTAGTATATATTTTCGTTTAAAAAAGTATGACGATTCGACTCATATAACAGCTTGTTATCTCACGCTTAGAAAATAAACAATACAATAAAGAATAGTGCAATATTTCTAGGCTTTTTAATTGCTTAATAATGATGTGAATTGGAAAATGCAGATTGCTGATGACATTAGACCAAACCCATTGGTGATCAAAATTTTGATTGCTTTGTCTCGGGTTATCCCAACCTGGAAACTTACCCCAACTCCAGACATAATTGAAAAAGCAATTAGAGACCCACAAGTTGTCAAGGAGGTGACAAAATTCTTATTCCAACTCAATATCTGGCTTTAATTATTGTACTTATTCTTATAATGAATAGATTACAGCATACATTGGCAAAAATCCAATTTTGGTCCGCTAATTTGTTCATTGTCCACTTTTGGTACACTATCTTTCCCCTCATCAAAAATGGTCCATTATGTTACATTTTTCATCAGTTTTAGTACGCTACTCCAGTTGGCGGGATTACAAGATTACGTGGACCAGGATTGGAACTACGTGGAGGGATAAGATACTGACGTGGTAGGATAAAAATCTAATTTGGCATCTCGTGATCCCGGGCCACGGGATTAGTGTACTAAAACTGATGAAAAGTGTAACATAATGGACCATTTTTTATGAGGGGAAAGATAGTGTACCAAAAGTGGACAATGGACAAGTTAGCGGACCAAAATTGAATTTTTGCCAGCATACATTTATATACATTTTCTTTTTTTAGTTGATTTACTTTTAAGCTTGGATTATTTTTCCCTTTCCATTTTTATTGTTTAATTTAAAATAATGTTGGAAGCAGGTTAGATCCAATCCATACACATACAAAGGCCTGCCCCGTCTGCAAACAGCCCACCAATTATTTAAAGTCAGCATGGATTTGGAAACAAGACTTCATGAGGTATGCTTATAGCTGGTAAACAAAATGAAGCACTCTTGAGCTTGGCTCGGAAAGCAAGCCGAGCCAAGCCGAGCTACTCGTTGAGGCTTGAAATATGGATTTATATATAATTTTTCATAGTTCAGCTGGTTAAGTCTCGAGCTCTGATCTATAACATTGATAAACGAGCTGACTTTGAGCTCATTTAGTAACGAGCATAGCTCGACTCGATAAAGACTGGAGCTCGTTTAACCTTGTAATCTTATAATATTAACAATTACCATTTTAAGATGGATACTAAAGGGACAAATGATTAGTGCAGGTCTCCTTGCCCTTCATTGTCCTTCATGGAGAGGACGATAAAGTCACCGACCCGTCTGTGAGCAGAGTTCTTTACGAGTCTGCTCGTTCATCGGACAAGACGTTCAAGTTGTACCCTAAAATGTGGCACTCCTTATCCTATGGTGAGCTCCCGAAAAATATCGACACAGTCTTTTCCGACATTGTTTAGTGGCTGGACGGCAGGTCTGCCGCCAGAAATGCCCAACTCGAAGAGCAGAAGAAGTTTGCTAATGACCAAAATTCTCTCAAAATCGGCTCCAAGTGAAAAGAAAATCAAAATTTTTAAGTAGATTCGCTTTTATTTGTTACATACAGATAATTTTGTGTCACTGTGTAAAATGAACTTATGTGTCTATTAGAACCGGGGGAAGAGGGTGTTGTCCCACCAGGTGAAGTGAACCATAAGAGGGTGAGTCTAGGTGCATCATATTGATGTTCCATCCCAAAACCAATTGGTGATGGGAGGAGTAACTCATTAGGCTTATAAATTCATTCACCCTGTAGAATCAATGTGGGACAACTCACGAGTGATATTCCAACAATTAGCGCATCGAAACAGATGAAAATCCTTGAATCGAGATATTTCTCGCCCATTAACCTTAATACTAAACCGTACATGCATGAATCGTAAAACAATAAACGTTCGGGAAAACCGAAACCGAACAAATCGATTCAATTACTACTCTCTTGGACAAGAATTTTCTTCATGCGGCCCACGAGCTCCGCAATCTGCTCCCTCGAGTGCAGAGGGGACGGGTACACGAACGCACAGTCCAGCTGGCCGTCTCGGACAGTGTCAAAAATCCCGAGCGAGGGGCCCACGCCGTGGAGTGACGCGCACCCCACGTAGTCTTCCACCCCTATGGACTTTCGCATAAGTCCCGAGTCGTCAATCACAGGGTCCTCAAAAACCGAGACAAGCGAAGTCCTTAGGGAGGAGGATGCCGTGAGGGTCGGGTTATCCATGGCCTTGCGCATGAGGAAGCTTATGTCGGCCATGTCAGAAAAATGCTTGTTGCATTTCTTGTAGCGCAAGAAATCGGTGTATGTTTGGGAGGCCAAGTCCCAAAAGATCTCGCTGCCCTTGAGGGTGTGTGTGTTGAGGACGGCCGCATGGTAGAATCCTAAATGCGAAAATCGACACGTTAAAAACTGTTAATATCACTAAATAGCCATATAAATTTACAAAAGATGAATTTTAGTCATTTTGACATGTGGAAATGCCAATTTACCCTCAAGTCCAATTTTCACGCTGATAGTTAATTTGATCGGCGATTATACATGCAGGGTGAATGTTGGTTCTCTGTTTGATTGAATCCTGAATAGGTATATTTTGTATTTAGTGAAAATTTGTGTTTCGATTTTTTATTAAATTTACCGTAATGGTTAGGGGAAAGAGCGGGTTCGAGATGAGGGCGGCAATCGATCAGAGTTACGACTCCGTATTTCTTCTTTGTGAGCTGATCGGTCTCGTTTTTGGTAGAATGTGCAGCAATTAGTGCAGCGGCTGCTAATGCTCCGCAAAGCTTAATCCCTCTCGATTTACAGCCCTGCAAAGAATTACGAATTTATCTCAGGCTGTAGATGTCGGGATATGTTTACTAGATTTATACAAACTTGAGGAGGATTTTTTTTNAAGGGTGTGGTACCAATTACAATCTATGTTTGATATGTTGAACCAATGTTCATTTTCTACCATTTTCGAGTCGGACATATCAATTGCGGTATAATGGTGGTGGGTCTGTTCAAACATTCAAATTGCGCAAACTTTACGCTGAAATATCAATAGAGATTTCCAATTTCCATACACATCAATAAGGTCCAATACCATTTTGGAATATAAGTTCTGTTCCTTAGTTTGGACCAGTAAATAGTACACCTACTGTTTGCTCGAATCTATTTATTTCAAAGAGAAATGTTATGTAGCCAGTTGGCTCCTTTACAGTGCCACGTAGGTCATGTAAAAAAATAATTAACTCCACTAGGGGTACACTATAACATTGGCTCCATAGCATTTTTTATTTCAAATTGACATTTGGATAGCCATTTTAATTACGGGCACCAGGTAGCTGGAAAAATAATTCAATGCACACACAATTCAATGCGCACACACACACTGAACTATTGCAGAAAAAAGTTGTAATTAATTAAATTCCAATATTA